AAATCACTATGTAGTGATGGTTTCTTTTGTTTCTCTTGACCCACACCTTCTTGTCTGACACTTGCTTTCCAAAGACGTTGGCGGGTCAGAGGGGAGGAAGTAACAAGAATTTTGATGCTTTATTTCAGGATGTGGCAGGGATGTTTTTTATGGTTTCAGTGCTTAATTTATTTGGAAACAGCACTCAATCAGCTTTGATTTATGAAAAAGTTACATGTTTGTGGGAGAGGGAGAGACTTTACATGGATAAAGCTCACACCAGTTAATTGGTATTCATACTATGGCTAGAAAAGTGAAAATTCTAGAAAATTTTAAATTAAGAAGAAAAACTAAAACATACAGAATTACAGTTTGGTTTCTCTAATTTCATTTTGTTTCACTTCTGCATTAATATTGTTGCCAGAGTAACCCTTTGGAAACACAAGCTGGATCCTATTACTCCTTCCTTAGAGTTGCTTTGGGGGAATCCCGCACTGGGGTCAGGACAATAGACACGGATTTGAGTCCTAGCCCAGTTATTTACCCCCTGGGTGATCTTGAGCCTGTTACTTAACCCCTTCAGCCCTGCATTCCTCCTCTGTTGAGCAAGGATGATGATGCCTCCCACCCACGCAGAGCCATCATGTGGACCACATTGTAGCACGTGCGTGGCACGTGCACGTGGCATGTGCCTTTACGTGCATAAAGGTCCTGCATTGGCACACGGTGAGCATTCTAGGAAATGCAAGCTGCTGTGGTTCCAAGTCATTAATATGAAGTGTCTCTTCCCGGCCGGCAGGACACCGTCGTGGCATCCACGATATGGCCCTTGCCTGGTATTTAATTTGATTTTTGTAACCCGTCTCTCTTACTCTGGTCCAGTTTGCTTTTGGCCCACCCACTCCCAGTATGCTGGAGGGAGCCAGAAAAGCCTGTGGAACTAGCACCAAACAGTTTGTCTATTTTTAAGCACTTCTGGCCAAAAATTTAATGGGAAGGGAGCTCAACTAAAAGATGAGGATTTGGCTTTAGTGCAAAAGAAAACTGAGAACCAGTGACTCTCAGGAAGTGAGAATGCTATTTCATGAACTGCCACCTGTAGTTCTTGCTCCCCACACTGGAAAAAAAAAATCAAATCCGTTTGGTTTGCCTTGAAATAAAATAGGAAACATGCAGGCTTTAAAGACTAGAATCTGACATAATGCAAATGAAAATAAAGTAAGTCATGAATCAGCAGGACTTTCACCCGGGGATTTGAAGCCTTTATTTTTATGATTATTGCCATTGCAGAGGAGAGCCGGCTGCATAAACACCATTTAGAGTAGCCGAAGGCTGGCATTGCATAAGAAAAATGGCAACCAGAATGATTTCCCTGAGGGTCCGTAAGTCCTAATTCTGCTTAATGCGACAATTCCTGAAAAGCTCTGGGTTCTTCACAGAAATATGCATGTGAAGTTCTGGGAGCCTGGCAGGCTAGAGCCTGCCTGAGAGGGAACTAGCAGTCTTCAGTGTTTGCAGACTGAAAGAATGTATCCCTGGGGTTAAAAGAATAATTGGGTGCTCATGTCAAAGAGTAGGGATGGGGAGTTTTTATCAACCGCCAGCTCGGTCCTACTCACAAGTCATTTTCTTTGCATTTGAGCAACTAAGTAATTATTAATCCTTTCCCCTTGTGTTGGCTCTCCTCCATCTTCCTTTTTCCCACCCCTGCCCTTTCTGTTGGCATATCTGACTTTTGACACCTCAGGGGTAAACATGCTCCTAGGATTCAGTTTTATTGTTGGGTGGTTTCTTGGGTTTGGAGACTGTCTCTCTCCTGTGTCTGTCTTACCCATTCTTTGAGCCTGTAAACTTTAAAACATCAAAGAGGAAGAAAACTCTAGAAAGGGAGATCATTGGTTGGCTAAATCAACATGGTTTGTTTGAGGAAACAAGTTATCATTACCTTGCAAACCTGGGGCAGATCCCTTTTGCTTGCAAGCTAAATGTTGTAACAGGCATGGCTGACATTTCCTGCCGAATTTGGGGTTCAGCATTTCAGTAGGGAGTGCCAAGGGAAACTCTGCTTTCTCAGCTTTCCTCACCGGCATGCCTCTCAGGCATGTAAACCTGAGAACCTGTGGAGGGAAAGGGCCGGTTCAAACCATGGCGTGGCCATCCCAGTGTTTTGCTGTCACCTGGGGCTTGCCTCTCTCTGCCTGTAACTTTCCTAGACTCCCCAGAAATAGCCACAAAGTCCTCCAGAAATCAGTGCTATTTTCAGACCTGCTTCCACTTAGAATAATTCATTTCAATAATTACAAGTTTAGTGCCCAATTTGGAAAGAAGTACTTATTTTATTTGCCCTAAAACTGTTTCTTTTTATACTTCAAACAGTCAGTATTCCAAGAATTACTGGGCTGCGCACTCCCCTCCTAGGTGCTCAGTAATCTTATGTGCAGAGACGCCTTATGTTTCCAGTGTAGAGGCAGCCTCCCCAGTGTAGAGGCAGCGGGTGGAGCGCTGACCTCCCAGGTCCCCTGACGGGAGCTCCGCCACAGCCATAGCCCAGAGCAGCACCTGGGGCCTGTGAATTCCTCAGTGCTGACTGAAGGAGTGGTTCCTCAACGTCTAGCCCATCACACAAGTCACTTTGTAAATGATTGAGGTATAATTCACCTAACGTAAAATGAATGACCAACGATTTTAAAGTAAACAGTTCAGCAGCATTTAGGATCGTCACGTCTTATACCACCATCATCTCCATCTAGTTCCAAGATATCTTTATCATCCGAAAAGGAACCGGAAGCCTATTAAGTAGTCACTCCCCATTCCCTCTCGCCCCAGCCCCTGGCAACTACCAATCTGGATTCTGCCCAAAGTAGGATTTACCTACTATGGCTGTCTTATACAAATGGATTCATACAATATGTAGCCTTTTCTGTCTATCTTTTTCACTAAGTATAGTTTTCGAGGTTCATCTGGGTATCAGTACTTCATTGCTTTTTCATGGCTGAATAATATTTTATTGTGTTAACATACCACATTTTGTTTATCCATTCATCTGGCGAATGCTTGCGTTGTTTTCGTCTTTGGGCTACTGGGCCTAGTGCTCCCGTGGACATTCACGTAAAGGGTTCTCTCCTTTGGACGAAGCACATTAACTCCTGATTATCTCTGGAGCCTGTGCACGGCTGTCCTCCCAGTCAAGCTCCCCACCTCTCTTACTTCAGTACTCAGCTGGCATTTTTGTGACCACCCTGGCCCTTCTGCAACCCGTACTCTATATCATAGACCCTTGGACTTTTCAAAATTCAGATCCCCTGTTCAAACCCTGCAGTGACCCTAGGATTGCTCAAGGGATAAGAAACAAACTTCTTCCAGGGTGTGGGGAGGCCCTGCGTGGCCAGGCCTCTGCAAACTCATTTCCCCACCCTGCCCCTCCCTATCTCTGCTGCAGCCACACTGGCCTCTCTGTCCTACAAACTCTCCATGCTCTGGCCCACCACAGGCCCTTTGCACATGATGTCTGTGCTGCCTAGAATGTTCTCCCCTCCTCTTGGTGTGATTAACTCCTCTTATCCTTGAGGTCTGGGCTCAAGCATGACCTTTTCGGAGAAGTTTTCCCCAACGAAGTCAACACCAACACCATCCTGGATGCACACAAGCTCCTGGAAGCAGCCCTCTGCAGCCCGGGCCCCAGCTGCAGATCTACGTGCAGGAGATTATTTGTAAGACTGTAAGCTCAGGTTGGGCAAAGGACCATGTCTGTTTTGTGCCCTGTTATAGCTCCAGAATTGCCATGCACTGGATGTTGTATCCCCTGCCCACTACCAGCTTCCTACGTTCAAGTCCTAATCCCCAATGTGATGGTGTTTGGAGGTAGAGGCCTTGGGAGGTAATCAGGTCAAGAGGGTACAGCCCTTATCAATGAGACGAGTGCCCTTATGAGAAGAGACATGAGATCGATGATCTACTCTCTGCCATGTGAGGACACGGGAAGGTCACCATCTGCAGACTGGGAGGTGAGCCCTCACTAGGAATAGAATCGCTGGAACCTTGGTCTTGGACTTCCAGCCTCCAGAATTGTGAGAAATAAATCTTCATTGTTTGAGCCACCCAGTCTATGGTATTTGTTAGAGCAGCCCTGAAGTGACTAAGGTAAGAACCTAGCCCAGGTTGGCCACCTGTTTGGTGCTTGTGAAGTTAGTGATGAATGATCAGATGAGTCAATTCTCGTCATCGGAGAATATTACCAACCACAGCTTCCCGTCCTTCCATCCATGCCGGCAATGCTTTATTTTGGGGGGATCCACCTCCCAGCATGCAATGCTGGCTCTTGGCCCCAAGCATGACTCTTGCCTCCGTCCTCCACTGGTGTATCTCAGAAATTATGCTGCCAGGTGTGGAATGTTGAAGGGGGATCTATCTCTCTGTGGTCTAGGCCTGAGGGAGCAGCCCAGTGTGCCCAACAACCAGGAGGGCATAGACAGGGGCTTGCTGAGTGCCGGGCCTGTGCCACCTGCTTTAGAAATAGCAAATATATGAGGCAGGTGAAACTGAGGCACAGAATACATGAGTCATTGCCCAGACTGGTAAGTGGTAGATCCAAAGTTTGGATCCAGGCAGCCTTTCTCTAGAGTCTGTGTTCTTAACCCTGCTGCTAAATAATGAGTGGACTTCAGCGTTCAGGATGTAAAAGAACTTCTCGTAGAAGAGAAATCCGAGTGATGGTGTTCCCTGCTGGCGTCCGCATGGGTTTGCCTAGAGCACTGGAGTGGGCAGTAGACATTCCCACCAAGTTCTGGCTTGCCACTCCCATGGCCATTTTAAACACACTCAGACCAAACTACTCAGCTTAGTCAGGGCTTCACGTGCTCCTGAAGGTCCTAACAAATACAGGTTGACATCAAGACAAATTCTCTAAAGAACCATTTTATTATAAACAAAGCTGGGGGGAAAAATTAAGGTGAGGACTATTTGTCTTCAGATGAAAGAAACTAAGCTATTTATTAAGACTCTTGTCTTGTGTCAGTCAGAGATTTAAAAAGGAAAGAGTGAAGCCAGATGTAGCAGCTTGCACCTGGCCCCAGCTTCTTAGGAGGCCGAGGTGGGATGGCTTACGCCCAGGAGTTGGACTCTAAACTGGGCAACATAGGAAGACCCTGTTTCTAAAATATCCAAGAGTCATGTCCTTTCTGATCATACGTTTTAGGGGGTGAATGTCTTTGGTCATTCATTCCCCAGGCCCCTGTGCTGCCATCTGGTTATCACAGGCAGGCAGGCTAAAACAGAGCAGGCTGGGCACAGTGGCTCACGCCTGGAATCCCTGTACTTCTGGAGGCCCTGAACCCAGGAGTTCAAAACCAGCCTGGGAAATCCCATCTCAGTGATTCCCACAGTGAGATCCCATCTAGCATTAAGAGTCTTCGCATCCAAAGACCTTTGGAGAAGTAAAGAACCTTTGGAACATTCCTAAAGGGCAGAGATGAGTGATGAAGGTGACAGTGATGACAATGGCATCGGTGTGGAAGTGCAGAGTCCCTTGTGCCCCAGGCAGCTCCTCCCTGCTCCCAACTTCAGTCTCCACTGCCTCTTGCTGTCAATTTCATAATTGCCCTTGCAAAGGTTTTTCTCTTGTTTTGTTTTGGGGCTCCCTTCGCTTATTTGTAACCATCTTGTTCAGGAACCATGTGGTTGGTATCTTTGGGGCAATGGAGAGGCTAACAGAGCCAGCACCGGCTGGTGGCGGCACAGCATGTGGGTGCCACTTCCCTTGGTTCTGTAAAAACAGCTAATAATTAGCTGATGGCAGGGGCTGAGGAAATGCCTCCTTGTTTGCTTTCTGCCTTCCTCTGCATGATAAGAACGTTTAAACACGGATGCACCGTCATGCAGCATGCCTTCCTGGCCCCGTGGAAGAATGGGGAAGAACCACCCTACAAATGGCGCATTGTGACACAGAAGCAGGAAGCCCATGGCTCCTCTTGACAAGGAAGGGTGGGGCCTGAGCATTTACAGCAGGGCTTCCTCACGAAGCGCTGAATGCTAGGTGTGTGGCATGGAGCGGGCACGGCCCACCAGCCCCGGCCCCTCCGGGGAGAAAGTTGACTGATGTGCTGAACACTCTGTGAAATCTGGGTCATCAGGGCCTATGTGACCCGAGGAATGAGTGACGAAACTGACCTCAGCAGGGTGGTGGCTGTGCAGCTCCAGGGAACTGAAAAGTTGGAATGCATGCGGTGCGCGCACACGCACATACACACACACAGACACACACACACACACAGACACACAGACACACACACACACACAGAGACACAGACACACACACAGACACATACACACACACAGACACAGACACACACAGAGACACACAGACACACACACACACACCACATGCACACAGACACAGACAGGCACCACACACAGACACAGACACACACACACACGTACCACACACACACACAGACACACACACACACCACATGCACACAGACACAGACACACACCACACAGACACAGACACACACACAGAGACACATAGACACACACAGACACACACACACACACCACATGCACACAGACACAGACACACACACACACACGCACCACATGCACACACAGACACACGCACCACACAGAGACACACAGACACAGACACACACACACCACATGCACACAGACACAGACACACGCACCACACAGAGACACACAGACACACACACAGACACACACACACACCACATGCACACAGACACAGACACGCACCACACACAGACACAGACACACACGTACCACACACACACACAGACACAGACACACACATACACACACGCACCACACAGACACATACGCACCACACACAGACACACACGCACCACACACAGACACAGACACACACACACACAGACACACACGCACCACACACAGACACACACACACACAGAGACACACACAGAGACACACAGACACACACACACGCACCACATGCACACAGACAGACACACGCACCACACAGACACAGACACACACACGTACCACACACACACACAGACACAGACACACACACAGACACACGCACCACACATAGACACATACGCACCACACACAGACACACACGCACCACACACAGACACACACACACAGACACACACGTACCACACAGACACACACAGACACACACACACACCACATGCACACAGACAGACACGCACCACACACAGACACAGACACACACGTACCACACACACACAGACACAGACACACACACACAGACACACACGCACCACACATAGACACATACGCACCACACACAGACACACACAGACACACACGCACCACATGCACACAGACACAGACACACCCACCACACACACACACGCACCACACACACACACAGACACGCACCACACACAGACACACACGTACCACATGCACACAGACACACACAGACACCCACCACACACACAGACACGCACCACACACACACACAGACACCACAGACACACAGATACACACGCACCACAGACACACACGCACCACACAGACACACAGACACACGCACCATGCACACACAGACACAGACACACACGCACCACACACACACAGACACCACAGACACACAGATACACACGCACCACACACAGACACACAGACACACACGCACCACACACAGACACACACAGACACAGACACACGCACCATGCACACACACAGACACAGACACACACGCACCCCCCCCACACACACACACCCCACACACACACACACACCCTCACGGGTTGATTGGTTTCTGTTTTCTGAGTGGCAGTAAGTGTCCGAGCCATGTTACCTTTCTAAGCCCTGGTTTTGTCGTGTGTCAAATGGGACTGTTACTCCCAACCCCCCAGGGTTGTCGTGAGGACTGAGTGTTGGCTGTGACTCGTGCCTGCCATATCTTTGGTACTTAGTAAATGTTGGTTCCCGTTTTCTCCCCATTCCTCCCCCTGGCTTTTTTTTTAAAAAAAAACCGGACTCAGGGGCTAACCCCGTTGTAGCTTCCTGGCCACCTGTGTCTTCTTACCGTTGTTGGATTTACCCAAATTAACCTCTTGGGATTACTACGTAAGTAAATAAGAGCTTAAAGGTGAGCTGTGACTCCAGGCAGTTTAGCAAGGGGTCTTTAGGTGGAGCTCATTCCGCGATTATCACCGAGAGGGAGGGAGAAAGCAGCTTCCATGTTTACGAGACTCACATTTCCTCTCTCAGTTGTAGGCTAGCCCCTCCCTCCTGCCTTTTCCTCCCAGAGTTCTAGAATCAGGCACTTTTAAAACTAGAGGTACCCTGAGCTGGGGTCATCTCCTCCCATCCCTTTACTTAACAGATGGGGAGACTGAGGCAGGGAGTTGAGCGATGTGCGCAGGGTCCCAGAGCTCCTCTGCGCTCCTCTTCCACCCGTCAGTGTGGCCCTCTGGAAACTGACAAAGCTGTGAAGAAGCAAGCGCAGTTGGTTCTTTCATTATCGGAAAAGGATAGTTGCTCACTGAGCCTCTAAGTGGCCCAGGGAATGGCCTGCCTCTTCTGTCTCCATGAGCTCCTGGGCCTCTAGGAATGAATCCTAGAGACAGTGCTGTGGCAGTGTGGTGTGACGGTTCCCAGTGGCCCTGGAGCCCCCAGACGCATTGCTCCCTGCTCTCCCTTGGGCCTGCCCGCTCTGGGATGCACACCTGCGTTTGCATTGGAGCAAAGGTAGCTACACCTCCTCTTGGCTCTGCGGGAACCCAGCTCTTCTCTTTCAAAGGCATGAGCCAATGAGAAATGTTTTCTTTCATAGAGAGTGAGGGAGAGAGAAGGTTGACATGCTCCCTGCCCTTGCTTTATGACCACGTTCCATCCAGTGTGTGAGCTCCTGTCTCACCCAGAGGAGAGCCCGGGCCTGTCCGGCCACCAAGAAGCGTGAAGTCACTTGGCATTCAGTAGGCCTCAGCGGAGAAAGTAGATTCATACCCTGCAGGCCATAGGGCCTTTCAAAATACCAACGTCTTGATACTTTAAATATCCTGGAAAAACTTTGCAGTAGACTTCTTCGTTATATTTAAAAGGCCAAACATGGTTAATATTTCGTTTACACTTGGAGATGATTTGGCTTTCGCATTTTCACTTTTCTCGTAAATTGACTTTTTTTTTAGTTTCTATTTTCATTTTAAGTTCTGGGCTACATGTGCAGGACATGTGGGTTTGTTGCATAGGTCAACGTGTGCCATGGTGGTGGCACCATCACCTAGCTATTCAGCCCAGCATGCAGTAGCTATTTTTCCTAATGCGGTCCCTCCATTGACATTTTGTAATGACCCGAACCCCCTCCTCTGTGTCAGCCCCTGTGTGGTCGCCCACAGATACCCTCAGGTGCAGTGGCTTCTACTATCGGTCATTAACATCCCCATGCTCAAGCTCCTGGCGCAGGGGCACCCTTGCTTACCGTACACATTTCTAAAAAACGTTACCTCTGTCATTTGCCCTGTGTCCTATTGTATTCAAATGAAGTTCAGTCTCCCGGCCTTGCACAGCCTAAGATAAGGGCTTTTTTCTTTTATGGTAGGGATTTATCTTTTTTTTTGAGACGGAGTTTCGCTCTTGTTACCCAGGCTGGAGTGCAATGGCGCAACCTCCGCCTCCTGGGTTCAGGCAATTCTCCTGCCTCAGCCTCCTCAGTAGCTGGGATTACAGGCACGCGCCACCATGCGCAGCTAATTTTTTGTATTTTTAGTAGAGATGGGGTTTCACCATGTTGACCAGGATGGTCTCGATCTCTTGATCTCATGATCCACCCGCCTCGGCCTCCCAAAGTGCTGGGATTACAGGCTTGAGCCACCGCGCCCAGCCGGGATTTATCTTTTTAAGAACTCACCTATGCATCTTCATCCACCAAAAGAGATGGCATTTCCAGTGCTGCCGCTGAGAACACAGAGGAAATTGTTGCCATGTGCAAAACTCATTGTCAAAGGGAAGTCACGTCCAGAGTCAGGAAAGCCAGTGGAACACCCGCCTCGGGGCAGCAGCTTCATCTGGAAATTTGACCTGGAGGGTTCAAAATGAAAACATGCCCTCCCCACCCATCCAGGAAGCAGGATGGGGATGGCCACTCACAGTTTACTCTAAAACGCCTGCCAGTACTGTCGATGTTCTGCCGCCACCTAACTCTGTGGTCACCAGTAGCAACACATCTTTATAAACTGATCACAGGTTGCATCTTAATTTCACTGGCAGTGAGAGACTAAAGGAACTCTGAGCTTGATGGTGGCAGGACAGACCACTGAGTGGAGTCGGAACGCCTTTACTACTATTATTGTTGTTATTATTATTATTATTTTGGAACAGAGTCTCACTCTGTCGCCCAGGCTGGAGTGCAGAGAGGCAATCTCGGCTCACTGCAACCTCCATCTCCTGAGCTCAAGCAATTCTCCTGCCTCAACCTCCTGAGTAGCCAGGATTACAGGCACGCATCATTATATCCAACTAATTTTTGTATTTTTAGTAGAGATGAGGTTTCACATATTGGTCAGGCTGGTCTCGAACTCCTCACCTCGTAATCTGCCCCCATTGGCCTCCCAAAGTTCTTGGATTACAGGCATGAGCCTCCGCGCCTGGCTCCCCTTTCTTATTTTTATTACCTAGTCAGCACCAAATGAATTATGAAACATTCTTTTCAGAAAGAGGGAGGAGCCAAAGTAGGAAGAAAAAAAAGCCCAAAGTCCACAGGTAACAAGTTGGTTGCTTTCAAGCCTTAGCACCCTTTGTCACAGCAGAGTCAGCTGACCCGGGGCTGATGCAAGACGCAGCACAGCCCAAGGTGGTAGCCAAAGTGGTCTCTGCTTTTAGGACTTGGCATTTCTAAATGCCAGTACCTTGTACATCTCATGGATTGGAGTTTAAATATCCAACTTTGAGAGGTGCTTGAACCAGAGTGACTCCATCTTGAATACAGATTGGGTAAAGTGAGGCTGAGACCTACTGAGCTGCATTCCCAGGAGGTCAGGCATGAAGTCACAGGATGAGATAGGAGGTCAGCACAAGATACAGGTCATAAAGACCTTGCTGATAAAACAGTTTTCATAAAGAAGCTGACCAAAACCCACCAAAACCAAAATGGCGCTGAAAGTGACCTTTTGTCATCTTCACTGCTCATTATACGCTAATTATAAAGCATCAGCAAACTAGAAGTTTACAAATCCCATGGCAACATCAGGAAGTTACCCTTATAGTCTAAAAAGGGGCGGAACCCTCAGTTCCAGGAATTGCCCACCTCTTCCCCGGAAAACTTATGAATAATCCACCCCCTGTTTAGCATCTAATCAAGAAGTAACTTTAAGTAAACTCAGTGAAGCAGCCCAGTGCCACTGCTCTGCCTTTGGAGTAGCCCTTCTTTATTCCTTGACTTTCTTAATAAGCTGGCTTTCACTTTAAAATTAAAAATTTTAAAAATAAATGTCTGACTCTGAGGCCGCTTGTGGCTGAGCCCAAGGGTGAGGTGGTGAGCAAGTGTTCTCCCTTCTAACCAGCTGGTTATGGGATGGGTGTTAAACAGCGATGATTTTTACCCCATTTGGTCTGATGCTGGAGAAACAAATCAAGCCCACTGGTGTGGGGACCCCCACATAGGCACCGAGGAATGAGAGCTAAGCAGACCCTGGCACAGTTAGGGCCTGAGGAATATCTCACTTTATGGTGTTACCACTCAGCTATTTCCTTTCATATAATCCTTTACACAATCATAGTTTATAGAATTAGGGCTTGAAGAATCCCTTTATAAAATCCTCTATATATAATCATATAATAGTTGATAGTATGAGTGCCTAAAGAATATTCCCTACATATATACCTATAATTATATCTTAGTTTATAATCGGAGGAATGCCTAGAGTGGACACAGTACAGAGCATGAATTAAGGAATAAGCAGCTTATAATCAGAGGAATGCCTAGAGCAGACACAGTGCAGAGCATGATTTAAGGGAAAACAGTTATACCAGGACAAGAATCCATGGCCCAGGCGGCAGTGTTCAGTATCATAAAGACACCCGCTGTATGGCAGGCCTGGGGCGAGAGCCTCTCCTCCTGATAAAGGAGTTGTAGGACCTTGCTCCAGTTCTTGTGGAAGGCTGCCCTCAGACCGGCAATCCACCTTGGTGACTGTGAACTCAGTCAGCTCTTGCTACTGTGCTGCTTGAAAAGCGTCTTCACATAGAACCCATTGGAAGCTGCCAGGAGGTGGCGGTAACCCTGACAGCTCTGTCACTGCTGTGTGACTTAAAGCATCTTCCTATAAATCTTCTTAGAAGTAGTTTGCCCATAGATAGAAGTATTGCACAGTGCACCCTCCTCACTGCGCACGGCCCACCTTCAAGCCTCGGTGACCTAATGGGGGTGGACCCCTTACTGCGCACGGCCCTTGCCTCCATGGGAACGGGCCCCTTGCTGTGCACTGTCTACCTCCTGTCCTACATGACCTAATGGGGGTGGACCCCAGGTTTTATTGCTCATGACCCTATCACTATCCTTAAAGATGATTTCACTCACTGCCCTGCCCCCTAACCTATACACAATAAATACTCAGGCTTCTGGACATTTGGGGCCTTGCCTGACTCCGCTCATAGGTGGCTTGGCCCCTCAAGCCCAGCTGCATTTTCCTTGTACTTCTGTGTCCTCTTATTTCTCGGATCCTGTGCCTCAGCACAGCATAAGGCTCACCCCATGACCCTGTGGGGCCATCAGCCCTATATCTGGCTCCCAGCGTGCCCTACACATTGGTAGTTCTTATAACTGATTCTGGAAGAGAGAAGCTGGGATCCCTAGGAGAGGTTCCACTGATTCATCCAGTCAGCAAAAGCCCGTTGTATGCCTACTGTGCGCCGTAGTGTAGCAGGCTCAGTGTATTGCCCTCATATACGATCTCACAGGGTTATCTGTTAACAGCCACAAGTCTGAGGCTTTTGAGATACACAGTCCCAGGAGAGCGGAAATAGTATTTGTTTAAAATAGTATCAGCTGTCTTCCCAGTCCACAGGAATTAAAACTAGGAAAGCCGAGTGCTAAATCAGCAATTGTCTAGCCTTGCCTGAGCTTCTCAAACTGGAGTTTAGAATTGCTTGGGGGAAATTGTTAGAAGTACAAACCTTGGCCAGAATCTCGAATAAGCAGACTCAGTCAATCAGGGATGGGGTCCACTAATCCAAGGTTTTAACAACAAGAACCAGATGGGGATAGGTGATGAGTTAGCCACTGGGGGTTCAGAGCCCTTAGAGAGTGGGGTGGCAGCAGCTGGGCTTTGGAGACCACACTGGTCTGGGACACTTTGTGATGAACACAAACCTTCCCTCTTCCATTGTGACTTTTCTGCCCTGGTGGGCTGCTTTTACATAAGAGAATTATTTCTCCATTTTGTGGGCAAAGCAAAAAACGTGAGAACCAGCTGCTCTAAATAAAACAATGGAAGGTGGAGTTCAGATTGAGAACACTCAGAGGATGCTTTTGTTTTCCTTTGAAATTTGTGGGAGAAGGGAGCCAAAGATTCAGTAGAGGGGGGCCAGTCCCAACCCTGATTCAGTGGAGGGGGGCCAGCCCCAACCCTTTTGAGTCTGCCCTGCCTCCCCTCTTCCATCTGTTGAGGCCAGGAGGTAACCAGCCCCTACTGCTAACTGTGTAACTTTGAGTTTGAACTCGAACGTGGGCTTAACCTCTCTGTGTAGCACGGCGCTCATGAATAACTGGTAGCAGTTGCCTCGTGTGGGCTGTGCGGGGAATAATAAAGACGGTGCGTACGATGACATCTGCCTTGGTACAGGTCAACAGGAAGGTTCTAAAGCAGGATTCTCCAGCTTGAGAAGCTCAGAGCTCAGCTGGGGCCTTGAGAAAATGATGCAGATTCTGGTGCAGCAGGTCTAGGGCAGGCCTGAGAGTTTGCATTTCTGGCAGGCTCCCAGGTGAGGTTGATGTTGCTGGTCCACGGACCACACTTTGAGTAACAAGGTTCTGAAACGTGCTTACCGTCTTGGGTTTTCTGTGAACATTTAGTGGAGATAGCTAACAATTCTTTTTTTGAGTCCTAAAAATAGAAGAAAATGCTTACCCCTTCCTTAACTCTGATCATGAAAATTAGGACACAGAATGCGTGTAGACGTAAATACCCATCTCCCTGCTCTCTCAGGTTATTAATGATCCCCAGCGACATAAATACTGAAGAAGAGGGCAGAGCGAGGGGTGACTGGCTCTGTGGGCTGAGAGGTTATTAAGGTTGAGGCTTCAGGTATACAGAATAAAGACGGCTCTTAGGGCTCAGGGATTCTGCTCCCTTAGGGCTCCTAGAGCTTGCCTGTGGGTGAAAGGTTTTTAAATATTAATAGCAAAGAAAAATGAGAATGTCTTTCTTCATCCATGAAATCAACTTATCAGTCATCTAGGGGTGCTGTTGAAATGCAGACTTCCAGGCCCCACTCCTGAGAGTCTTAAGTAGGTCAGGGGTAGAGCCTGGGAATTTGCATTTTGAACAGGTTCCCAGGTGACATTGGTGCTCACACTGTGACCACTCCAAAGACCACCTGTGAGAGCCGTGGGCATGGAAACCAGTGCTGTCAGCCTGGGCCACCTCTTCACACTCCCGACCCCTCCCATCAAAGTGGTGTTACCAGGAAGGGGTTTTCTAAGCTGGGGTGGAGTTTGGGTGTGAGTGGGAGATTCACCTGTCCTCAGGTATCTGAAGGAAGATCCTCCTGGGGGTTAGGAGAGATTATGATCCTGGTGAGTCACAGCACCGTGGTGTGTCCCCCACACCCTAGCCTGGGCCTCTCTGAGCATCCTGGTTGGCTGATCCCCTGGCAGGGTGGGTGTGGGGCTTCTTAAAAATAGAGCTTTCCTGGGTACATCTGCATCCCAGGAGATTCTGATGAGCAGCCAGGTTTGGGACCCCCCGCACGGAGAACAGCAAAGCACCAGCTGGGCACTGGAGAGCTGCTCTGTCTGTAATGATTCTGGGATGCAGCACTAACGATCACTCAGCAAGCAAATGATTCGCCCGCAGGAAGTGGGACCCTTTGCGAAGTACATTTCCTCGAGGGTCCCCAACGTTACAGTCGATAAATTCTGGCTGCATCTTCCGAAGTGTTTTATTTCCCATCTGAGGATGGCTTCCAGCCAGGAGCATCTGGCCAAGGGGACTTATCCAGCGTGAAACCCCACCCTCTCCACCTTCCCCACTCCACCCTGTCAACAGTGACTCTGTCCACAGCTACTCTGCTCTGGGCAGTGTGGAAAGTGGAACTCATAAAAGTCACTGATGACCAAATTCCAGAGACAATGCTTTCCAGACAAGCTCCCAGCATAGAACACAGCTGGATGCAAAGCGTCAGGTTACAACT